TAACTGTACTACAGAGCCATAGTAACAAAAGTGGCATGGTATTGGCACCAAAACAGACCTGGAGACCAGCGGTACAGAATAGAAGACACAGAGAAAAACTCACATAAATGCAGTTATCTTGGTCTAGACAAAGGCACCAAAAACTTTCATTGGAGAAAAGACCGCTTCTTCAACAAATGGTGCTGGGAAAACTGGAACCCCTATATCTCACTCTGCACAAAATTCAACTCAAAGTGGATCAAAGATTCAGGCCCTAGAACAGAGACCCTATGCCTAATAGAAGAAAAAGTAGCCGTAAATCTTTACCACGTAGGCTTAAGAACTGATTTCCTTAACAAGACTCCTAAAGTATAAGAAGTAAAATCAAGAATCAATAAACACGATGGATTCAACCTAGAAAGCTTCTTCTCAGCAAAGGAAACAATCAATAAAGTGAAAAGAGAGCCTATAGAATGGGAGACTATCTTCACCACGTGTGCCTCAGATAGAACAATAATCTCCAGGACATAAAGAGAACTCAAAAAACTTAATACCAAAAATCATCATCATTATCATCATCATCATCATCATCATCATCATCATCATCATCATCCAATCAGTAGATGGGCAAAGGAACTGAACAGACACTCTACAGAAAAAGAAATATAATTGATCAACAAATACATAAAAAGCTGTTCAACATCTCTAGCAATTAGAGAAATGCAAATCAAAATTAAGACTTCCAGTCAGCATGCCAATTTTGAAGACTATAAGCAATAATAAATGTCTCATCTTCACAGAGTGAAGTTCTAGATGTATTTGTGTTCATGTGTTGAAAGAAAATATATAAATCATTATTAGATAATTTCTAAATTTGATTTCTTCTGTTTTGACTGATTCTTAGTTTAATACCATTGTTATGAAACCATCAAATTTCAAACATCTTTTAAACATGAAACTATTGCTTTATTGATGAAATCAAATTCAATAACAGGAATACATATGGTCATAAAAATTCAGAAACAAAAATGAGATTAGTACAGGACACCTATTATTTGGTCTCAATGAAATGCTGTATCTCAAGAATGACTGCATAAATTCACATTCTGTAAGTGCATGCATTAAACAAATACCTTTATGTTTAAAAATGTCATCCATTTTGAGTAGGTACCAATGTTTGTTTAGGGTATCCATGTTTTCTGGTTTTCATGTGACCAGGAGTATCATCAGTTCAAGCTCCACGGTGAATATAAATACCAGAAGACAAGCTACAGCATCAACTTTCTTGACTTCCAGAAATTTAGCCCTTAACATTTAATATCAATTTTTTCAATGTATTTGTGCTAAAGGACATGCAGAAAGTAAAATGTTTATCAAATAATATAATGAATTTTAAAGCCAGTGTAATGGAACATACTTGTAATCCCAGCAACTTTGGAAGCTGAGGCAGGAGTATCACAAATCTGAAGCCAGCCTCAACAACTTAGTGAAGCCCTGTGGAACTTAATGAGAAGATTTCTCAAAATAAAAAAAGGACTGAGGATGTAGCTTAGTGACTCAAGTGCCCCTGGGTTCAATCTCTAGTGATGTATAGTGATGATTTACATTTAAGAGAGTAAGTAGTATCTCATGGTGACTGACAAAACCATAGTAGGAAGCATGCTCAGCTGCTCTCTGTCTGTTGTAGAGAACAAATCCCTGTCTATAATTTCTGAAATAAGCTTCTGCTCAGAAACACATTTCAGTTCATCTCACCTATCATTTCCCACATTTGCCAACTTTAGAATTGATGACGTCAAGCCCAGGGACAGTGACTAGTATAGTACACCAAATGGCCAGCAAGGACAACAGGAAGATTTCTCCCACCACCTCCTGAGACCACCCTGTGGCCTGAAGGCATCTTCCGTTCAGCTTCCTTGTGTATGTCCTACAAGTTTTCTTCAGATCATCACAGCTGATTCTATAAATGCAGAGACTAAACTATCAGACTGGAGTTACATGTACTCCAGATATATCTAACCACATGGTAAAGCTAATTCTAGTCCAGCTCTAAAACCAGCTGTGAGTGCATCTTGTCATGGCTAATAACTTCCCCTTTACTCCAGCTTTTGTGCTTCTTCTAACCACCTTCAATTTCAGCATAACTCTAAAATTTTGACTCAGGATAAGAAGTGAAATATCTCTAGACTTGGCATAAAGAAAGTTAAAGAAGAAAAGAAAAAATAGAAAGATGAAATAAGACAGAAAATGGGGCTAGGATAATAAGAGAGGGACAGAAAGAAAATGTGTAACAAATTCTCATTGATATCTATCCATAGGTAACTTGATCAAGAGACATTGTAAATATAAAATTTTTTCTTTTATTTTTCAAATTCTTATCACAGAATTGCTTTACAAATTAAATGATAATATTTTCATGGTGGATGACTTTAATTCTTTTCAAAAAGAAACATTTCCTTAGGGTTCAGGCAGTTCTTTGTTGCAAAAATAGCAGGTGTAAACAGTGACAGTTGGACACCAACTGAGCCCCCACAAGGCAGGAAATTGGAGGGGACATTATTTTCTATAGTGTCAAAATTAAAATGTGTCCATTTTATAGTAGCATAAAAAGCTTATTTGTGGCCTTTTGACTCTAGTGTAACCTCTTACTGTCCCCAGAGACAACATTATACAAATGATGTTCATAAAGTAGACAACTAAAAGAACATTAACTTTGTACCTAGATTGGTACCTCTCACTATGAAAAGAAATTCATGTATGAAGTATTTTAATTACATTTCAATAAAGAGTAATCTGTATGCTTATTATAGCACATTCTTAAAAACCCCTTACCAAAATATTTTTTTGGAGGGAACCAGGGATTGAACTCAGGGGCACTGGACCACTGAACCACCATCTCCAGCCCTTTTGTGTATTTTATTTAGAGAGAGTTTCACTGAGTTGCTTAGCACCCTGATTTTGCTGAGACTGGCTTTGAACTTGAAATCCTCCTAACTCAGCTTCACAAGCCACTGGGATTATAGACATGCATCACCAGGCCCAGCTCTTACTAAAAATTTAAGAGGAAAATTTTAAAAATTTAGATGTTTTTAAAACTATTTTTTGTTGTAAAAATTCCTAAAATGCCATTAATATAAATTAAGAACTGAGTTTTTAAAGATAAAATTATTTTAGTACTTAAAAAACCAACCAAAGAAAGAAAAACACATGTACAGACCTTGAAAGCTCAGATCTTGAAAATGTATGATAACTGTTATCTGTTAACTGTTATCTGTTAACTGTTATCTGTTAACCTTTATCTGTTAACTGTTATCTGATAACTGTTATCTGATAACTGTTATTTCCAGGCTATGTGATATATACTATAAAGACACATGTCTTTCAGCTTATTTATATTGATGCATGAAGACAAATGATAGAAGAACATTATTTATAGATAAATATAGAATATTATTTATAAAATATACCCCATGATTCCCTGAGTAAATATATTTATTTATTTATTTTTCAAACTTGGTCATGGTAAAAAACAATGTTTGAAACTTTCCTTACCCAGTTTGATAAATGTCAGTACATTATGTTGTGCTTCAATTGATGTTCTATTCTCAGTGGAAAACCTCTATAGAAGAGAGGTTTTTATTATAATATGTTAGATGTATCACAATAATTAAGCCATCAGGCTTCTTTGAATGGGAGGTATGGAAGCCACCTTTTCAGCTAAACATTATTGAGAAGCTTACTATCACTCAAATGCTTGTTTGAAAAATAATCTTTAAATAAATTTAAAATTTGAAAAATCCTGGAAAGTAAATTCAGTGAAATGCATTGAAACAGTCAGTGTTAAATCCACAGAAGTAGTTTTGGTCAATCATCAAAGTCAAGAGAAACAACAGGCCCCTCTAAGCAGCTGATTATTGAACTTTCAGGTTGAGTGTGAGTTTGGGAAGGGAGCTTGTTCCACTTGCCTAGGCCCAGCTTCTTCCTGCCACTAGACCTGAGGCTGGTGTGTTTAGCTGGGGCTTCAAGAAAAAGCAATTGGACATCCATTATTTTTATGGTCAGTCAGAGTTGATCTAACCAATGAAAGAACAGGACTTATAGATGTTAAAAGTCTTATTGTGCTGATTTCTATGCCAAATTTTAGTCTGACAATATGATTTTCAGAGTAATTTTTAAATGTGGGAATATCTACCAAAATTCCCTCAAACAGTAATGATTTGCTATTAAAAAACAAGAAGAACAAATCTTAAAGAACAAAGAATAAAGTATAGGAAAGAAAATGTTTGCTTTTAACAATGGATATAGTACCTGGAAGAATTAGATAAGCAAAAGTTAGACAATAAATCCAAACCTTTAAGTAGAACCCAGCTCTCCCAGTGATATATGAACATTCCAGGGACCACAGAGATTTTGAAATCACTGCAGAGAGAACACAAATACAGTTTGTAGAGGTTAATTTGGGCATTAGAGGACAATATTCCCATTTGGAATGTTTGTTTCTTTTTTGTTTAAATAACTGGGTTGCAGAAAGATTTCAAATAGATTTCTGAGAGAAAACATATGAGTTTTTGGATTTAAATTTAAATAGTTGCAACAAGATTACCCTAATATAATATGCCTCAGAATAACTATGAAAATCATCATATATACTGCCCAAAATACAAGAAACAATTGTTTTTCTCCAACTGAGGCAACTGGAGAATTAAAGCATATAGAAAAGTAGTTGTTTTTAGTCATGTGGAAATTCTTGAAAGTGATAGATGGAGACTGGTAGCTTGAAGACGGTTAGACAAAGCTGATGACATAGTGTCTACTTCCAAATGTAGAATGGCAGTAAATGTACTTCTCTCCAAACCCTAAGAGCAGTTCAAAGATATTATCTAATTCATCCATTCCTTTTTTTTAATAAAATGATACTTATATCACCCCATGAGATAGTCAACTGCTCTACTGCAATTATCCTGAGAGAATCAAGGAATCTATGACACAGGACTTGTCATACATCCACTTAGCAAACAGACAACAGGCAATGTCACTATCTATAACAGGCATTGAGGATCAACAGTAAATAAGATATAATCTCTGAGAGAAGTGCACAGTTCAAGGTAAAATAGATATAGAGATCATGTCAGCATGATATAGGTGTTCTGAGAGTAACTACAACATTATCTTTGGAAAGATAATTAAGAGGATGTTCAGGAAGGGTTTGTCATCTATAGGGAACCTAGATATACAAGTTGACCAGGAGAGGAGAGTGATGAAAGGATGTTCCAATGAGAGGGGACACAATACGCAAAAACCTAAGGGCCAAATACATAGGTCATGTTAGAGGCTCAGGAATCATTGTCACTGAAGTAAGAGAGAAGGGGTGTTATGAGACTATGCTGACGACATAAACAGAATCTAGACAATGAAAGGCCACAAATAGCATGTCAGGGATTTGAGGCATTATCATGTACATACATAATGAGAAGGCAATAAGGCTTTCAAGCAAAAACTGATTTTTGCTGGATCTGAAGATAAAAAAGATTGTTCGGACTGCAGGTGGAGAAGGGTGTGAAGGTGAGAAAGACTGTATGCAAGGAGAACAGTGAAGAGGGAACAGTTCTTCAGTAAGAGAATTCAAAATTTCATTGGGATCAAACAGAGGTAGCAGAAGTGAGGACAGACAAAACTGCCCCAATCCAACTGGTCTTTATGAGGCCCAGCAGATAAGACTTCGCAGCAGGAAGGACAGAGACCAAAAGAAGGAAAGTAGGAAGACTTCTGGGTTTTTGGTCTTGGCATTGGGTGTCCTTAAATGGGGAATACAGGCTAGATTCTGGTTGATGAATTTAGTTTTTAACATGTGGAACTTAGGGTTTCTGTGATTCCCCAAGAGAAATTCTTGTGTTTTCTCTATTATTTTCTTTACTTTTTAGGTACTAGGGATTAAACTCAGGAGCACTCTACCACTGAGCTAATCACCAACCTTTTTCATTTTCTGAGTCAGGGTCTCTTTAAATTGCTGAGGCTGGCCTCAAACTTCTGATCCTCCTACTTCAGTCTCCTGAGTAGCTGTTAGGATAGTTGTGCACCACACACCTCTTGGAACTTTTGTTCTTATCAGGATCCTACTTTGTTCAATGTAACTATATTAGACGAAATAGGACAAAGTGAAGGAAAGATTATATACTGAAGGCAAATATTGATGAGGAAAAGGGAGACAATTGGAAAACAAACCACTGAGCCAGTGAAAGAAAATGAAATGCCAGGTACAGTGGCTCACACCTGTAATCCCAGCCACTTGGGAGACCAAGACAGAAGGATCACAAGTTCACAACTTAGTGAGACCCTGTCTGAAAAATAAAAATTAAAAAGGACTGAGAATGTAGTCCAGTGGAAAATCACACCTGGGATCAATCTCCAGTACCAAAAGGGAAAGAAAAGAAAGGGAGAAAAAAGACACTACTCAGTGAAATGGAATTACAAAATCATAGTATCATAAGTATTGTGAGTAATTTTCCTCATTTACAAGATTAAAGAAGCAAGCAACACCTGAATTGCATGTTGTCTGAATAAATTCACGTAGGCAGAGCATGAACACCTGTGTGTACACAAAGAAGTCAGTGGAAACATGAGTTTAATAGAAAATAAGGTCAGACCACCTACCTGACATGGGTAGCCAATAAGATTGTCTGTCTTGACTTGATTGACCTGATTGGCCTCAGTGTTCAGATCTTAAGGACATATGTACATCTCATATTGAATATTCTGAGGCTTCTTGACAGGAGATTTTTAGTGACAAAATGTTCCGGTTCTGAAAGACTATGGTTATTATGCATGAAATTTTGTTGGTCTATTTTTTTAACCATCATGACATATGCAGAATGGAAATATTCTTAATTTAAGATTTAATGGATTTCCTTTTTCATGTAATATATACTAGATAATTGTCCAATCTTGACAATGTAAAAAATAAATACAAATAACAGAAGTTGAAAGAACTCAGAGGAAGAGTCAATAGTACTAATATCTGTATGTTATAAAGCAGAGAATAAAAAAATGAGTGTTTATGATTGATGGAACAAAAAATAAAATTATGAGTACTATTCAATGTTCAAATATACGGATTTAGGAACAAAATGATAGAAAGTTTGTATGGTATGTCACCTAAAGGTTAAAATGTAGCTACCAATTCAGCACAGTGCTTGGCTGCAATCATGACAATGGCATTAATATGTGTGAACAGAGATTGTGTCAATCAGAAAGAACATACCTGAAAAATGCACTATTGTGTTCCTAACAAAGTCAAGGGAGACTGGTACACTTGTGAAAGGATCACTCAAAATACACTCCATGCGTTATGGTTTAGATGTGGTGTACCCGGAAAGCTCACACGTGTGACAATGCAAGAAGGAGGACATGGGAATTGGAGCATGACTATGAGGTATGTATTTTGTATCTGTAGAGTGGAGTCTCTCTCTCTGCTTCCTTAGTGTGCTGCCTCCCTCCACCACCCTCTTCCAACATAATGTTCAGCCTCACCTTGAGCCCTGAGCACCTAAACCTTCTCTGGACTAAGGCCTCTGAAATGGTGAGCCCTCAAATAAACGCTTCCTCCCCCACAATTGTTATCGTCAGGTCCTTTAGTCACAGCATTGAAAAAGCTGACAAAAACACCATGTTTGTTCATTCACACTGACTGGACATCTGCATGCTAATGATCAGACTTGCCATTCAAACTAGTTTATAAGCAGGGAAACCTTGTCACAATAACACAAGTCTTTTGGTTTGTGAGGAGTTTTGTCTTATCATAAATTAATAATCTGACACTCAGGATTATACTGCATTCTCTGGAGAACCCAGTTATTGTAAGCTGATCTCTTCATCCACCCGACTCTATGAATATAAATCATGTGTCTTAGCCTAGAAGACTGAGAACAAGATTCTGGATAGTTGTTAATTTGTCACAGACCTCTTGTTAGACAGCTATTGGGAATCTTGTGGATATTCCTGGGCTTTTCAATATTCATCTTTCTTCCTTCAGCAGTTTGAAGGAAGCCTCCCTTTTTGAGATCAACACAGTCTTTGTTGCTTCTATCTAACATTCTTGTTTCCATAAGGTAGAGAGTCATTCATTTTTAATAGCCACACAGTACTAGTTCTCTGAGAAGCAGAGAGCAGTTCTTAGGTCACAGACGTGGTATATCTGAGGTGGGAGAGCAGGGCCCTCTGGGGAAACCTTGTATGCAGAAGTTCCTGGAAGCAGAGGGAGATTTTACTGTGAGTCTGATGAAGCTTGTTTCTAGGTCTCCTCACTGCCTGGAGCCTTTACTGGGCTCTAGAAGCTTCACTTGTGATGCACTCATGCAATCACTGGCTTTTCTAAAATTTTCAAAAATGAGATATTTTAATGAGATATTTTAACAGTAATTGTTTATATGGCTGTCTCCTTCCTCTATGACTTCTCCCATTCAAAAATACCTAGAGTCAGTTATCAATTTAGTGGCTGTAGATGTTTATGGCTTTAAAAAAAGTTGAGTTGAAGGTAAATTTACTTGGTTCTAACACATTTGTTTCCAAGTTTTTCACATGTAAATTGTTACCAACATGCCAGTCAACACTGAAATGAGTATATAGACCTGAGAATCATCATGTGATATAAACATGCCCTAAGGTCTCTAGCTCAGGAGAATGATAGGTAATAGAGAGGAAATTAGGTTTGAAACAAATGGTGCAAGAAGCCAGATTATGGAAAAATCTTCTAGTTATCAGAGATGTAAAATTTTAGAAGAAAATTCAGTTCATGTTGTTGCCAGTCAAAAATGGAAGTTCTATTCTTTTAGGGAATTTTTCACTAATGCTGTATATATAACTTTTTTCACTAATGCTGTATATATAACTACCAGCAACATAATGTATTTTACAGGAATCCCTCCCAATAGAATTTATTAGAATTCCTGCATCAATATGGCATAAGCCAAGAGAGGTAATAGAAATGGTAAGTATATCTCATTGTAAAAATCTCATATTAAATGTAACCCAGTTATTAATAATAAAGCACAAATTTTACTCAGCTATCCTAGAAGAAATAGTCTTTCTATATTATTAAAAAGAATATTATAAATTATTTGTCTTATAATGAGGTAATCAAGGTGCAAGGATGTTGTAGAATTTGTGAGGCATTACTTTTCTGAATTTTCAAATATTTGTGGAATACGTCAGTTTTTTAAATTTTGCAAGTTGTTTTTAATTTTCTTTTCTCAATAAAAGCTCATATTTGTATATAACTTTGTATTTTAATTTTGTATTCATTTTATTAAAGAGAGCCCTTCACTATTAAATAAACTTCATGTGAGACAAAATTGGGATCTCTTCCTTCATGAACCATAAAACTTAAAGTGATCTCAGAAAACACAGTGCAGAAGATAGAGAGTGCTCTATGCACATGATATCAGCCTTATGTGATGCACACGCTGGAGATGCTCTTCATTTACATGGAATAGAAAATGTAAACATATTTGAGGTATGTTGACAAGGGATAAAATCACAACGTTTAACCTATTTCACCTAATTTCACTGCCTTCCCCTTTCAGGTTACCTTTTTATAAAGAGAATTTGTTTAAGAAAAGACCACAAATATTTGTGTGTGTGTGTGTGTGTGTGTGTGTGTGTGTGTGTGTATGTGTGTATGTGTTTTCTCTGGAATCCTAGGCAATTTCACAAGATAAAAACTACATTAAGGCATGTTAGTCATTTGAAGTTGTCATACAACAACAAAAGAATTATGTTTGGGGGACAAATGAGTTAGATGTCCTAAATTTTTCCCCAAATCATAAAATAATAAATGAAACTATTGGAGAAGAAATGAATAATTAAAGTTGTCCTCCAATTAAGTATCTATGAATATGAAAAAAGTGCAAAAGGAGATAGCTTTTAATGTTTATTCTCTCTTGATAGATACTAAAATGGTACAAGAAATTTGATAACAACTGTAATAATCAGAATTACAGTATTATAATATAACAGCATTTGGTGCATGTCTGTGGAGGAATTATCTTGCAAATAAAACACTAAGAGAGAGAGGAAAAGAATACACAGACTCCTCCTCCTGGTCAAAACAAAAACAAAAGCAAAACAAGAAAAAATGGGAAAGGAAGATTATCCAATCAAACAGAGAAAAGGAGGAAGTGATGGAGAGTCACAGAGGGACGAGGTACCTGAGCAACTGGATGTTCCCTACTACACAGTGCCTATACTCCTTTAAGTTCTTTTATATTCACAAACTCCAGTGGTACTTATTACAATAACTATCTTACAGAATACAAACTTTCAGTTAAGAGAACTAAAATAACTTCCAATGAACACATAGCTATAAGAGATGAAGCCTGGGTTCAGAACCAGATCTGACTCCAGATCCCATACTCTTTTTAATCTCAAAGTTCAGATCTGTCAAGAGTGGCTTTGGAGCCAGCCTAGTGACTCACACCTGAAATCCCAGCAGCGCGGGTGACTGAGGCAGAAAGATCGTGAGTTCAAAGTCAGCCTCAGCAAAATCAAGGTCATAAGCAACTCAGTGAGACCCTGTCTCTAAATAAAATATAAAATAGGATGGGGATATAGCTCAGTGGTCGAGTGCCCCTGAGTTCAATCGCTGGTACCCACCTCACCACCAAAAAAAAAAAAAAAAAAGAATGTCCTTGAAGGAAGAACTTCTATGAGCACAGATTTGATGAGATTCTGTAACATTAATGGGACTGTTGCTAAATAAGTAAAAAATATAGTTTATTATGTGCAAGATAAGATTTTCAGCATATATATGTGTGTGTGTGTGTGTGTGTGTGTGTGTGTATATACATATATATATATAATTTCATTTAATCCCTATTATTTATAACGTGATTGGCATTCATAGCATGAAATTCTCTTCCCTAAGCTTCTCTTTTACCTTGTTTTCAGTGGATGATATCAGAATGAGACTCTGTATCTCAACAAAAAGTGGGGGGGGGAGAAATTAAGACATATTTCAAATGGAAAGATAATCTTCAAGAGCAGGGCATCCATTTTTTTTTCCTATAACATTATAGAAGCAATCCATGATTGTAACATAAACACAGCTTGAAGTATATAAAGAGTAATTTTCCCCCACACCTACTGTAAATCCACTATTGGAGCAGACACATAGGCACACATAGACAATCACAAATAGTTAAGTATGCCTCATGGGCATCTTTCTTTTTAAGTTCTTATATTAGCTTCTTGGCACATGGTATTACTTTATAGATAGTCTGCCATATGGACATCCCATCATTGAGTTAAATAATTTTTTTCTAATTAATTTTTAATTGGTAAATAAAAATTATACATAAAACTAAACCTATGCAAGCTTTGCATACCAATGAAAGAAATTATCCCTGTTTCTTCAGAAGCATATCAAGGGTTCTCCTAGTTCTATCATCCGTCTCTCACTCTTGGCATATGCTCAGAATTCTGCAATGGCAGTAAATCCCTTTATAGGCTTCTACATAACTGATTTATTGGACTGGCCAATGCTTTTCATTTCTTCAGACTCATTAAAATATAGTAAATTGTTACTGTGGCACACATATTCAAAGCTGTTGAGCAACAGTCTGTTAGGTATTTTCTGTTTCTACCAGTTTTGAGGAGTCAGTTATGTTTTCACACAAACAAGTTTATGATAGTTTTGGATGTTATTCTAATTATAACACAAGTTGA